TACATACATACATACATACATACATACATACATACATACATACATACATACATACATACATACATACATACATACATACATACATACATACATACATGGGAAAGGCCTTGGTGATGTCACAGAGGTGGATCAGGCAACAATTGGGAGGCAGAACTGTTTCTGGGGCAACAACTGTAGAAAATGTGTACAAGGCACTCTGTTCCTCACCTTATTCCCAAATGTATGATGAGAATAAGGCGTTCACCCCACTGGCTCTGTCGCCAGTTCCCTGCCCTCACTTCCAGCTATTTAGTGCAATACTGTTGTTGCAAAAATATGAGTACAAAACCTTTTGTTCTGACTGGGTGAGTTGAGGAGCTAGTTGGGAATGAGATGAGGTTTTAAAGCCACCTGCTGTACGCAGATGAGACTTTATGCACTTGCTATTCATCCTGAGATTTGTCCCTATGTTTGAAGACCTCTAAAAATCATAACATTCCCTGAGATTTCAGTTGGTACCCTGATACCCGGTGAATAAGCCATTCTTGCATTCTTTTTAGTTTTGTGAGAATCGGAATTGACGATATAATGAGGGAACTGGCATCTTGCATGCAAAGTCTTCATTAACCCTCCACTTCATATTTGCTGGCAAGATGCTTTTAAGACACTCAGAGCCATTTTTGCACAGAATCAAATCAATGGTGCATTGCGCTTTGGGATCTCTTATGGCTCCTACTGCTCTCTCTCACTCTGTCATACATACACACACAGAGAGAGAGAGAGAGAGAGAGAGAGAGGCACTTCTCTCACTTGGCTACTTCATTCCTCAGGCGTATTTGAGAGCAGGCATGTCTGACAGATGGGAAGACTAGCTGTGTGTTAGTTCAAACTTTCATATTGGCTTTGTCAGAGACTGAAAGCCTGATCTTCATGGTTATAGTTTTAGTGTGAACACCCTAGAGATTCTCTCTCACTTGGCTACTTCATTCCTCAGGCGTATTTGAGAGCAGGCATGTCTGACAGATGGGAAGACTAGCTGTGTGTTAGTTCAAACTTTCATATTGGCTTTGTCAGAGACTGAAAGCCTGATCTTCATGGTTATAGTTTTAGTGTGAACACCCTAAAGATTCTCTGTGTTCAGTGGCCACACCTGTAACCCTTCATAACCCTTCAGGAGGCAGATTATTCAATTTTGTCATGTTTGTAAAATTAACATGTGGTAAAATAAATGAGTGTTCCAAAGCTATTTGAAGATTCTCTCTCTATGAAGGATACCCACTAAAATGCAAAAGCACAAAGAGAAGCCTCTACCCTGGCCTGTTTTTGTTTTTTCTGGTGTTTTTTTTTTAAAATAGAGCTTTTTACTGTAGAATTTGGGATCCAAGTTGGTAGCTTAAACACGTAAAGGAAGTGTCATGGTTTCCATTCCTGGACATGTTAATTTCTATTTTCCCTAGCTGCATTTTTTCCCTACATTTCCTTAGAAACAATGTCATTGAAATGGCTAGAACAAATGTCTTCATGGGCGGGGGAGTGCTTTGTGTAGAGGCATTTAAACTCGCTTGATTATTCTGCCAATGTGTGTGTGCTTGTGCATGTATGCCAGCTAAACACAAAGTTACAGAATGTACTGATTTTTATGCTTGATAACCTGTGTGTTCTTACTTGATTTAAATTACCTGTAAAAGGTCTTGTGACAACCTCAGGTAGCCTATCTAAGGAGCCTGAAAACAATGGCCATAAAATGTTTGACAGTAATGATCGTCTTTTTTCCTTTCATTTCTTAGATCTAATAGGCTTACCGTGGGTATATTTTATTTATGCTCTGATGAGCCTAACAACATTAGCCTTTGTCATCATATTTATACCTGAGACAAAAGGATGCTCCTTAGAGCAGATATCCATTAAACTGGCAAAAGAGTAAGTATGAACAAAGCTGTGTTTTTTGCACCGCATTACTGTATCACTATAATAAGAAGTTATTCAGATGTGAAAGAGTTGTGTTATAATGTTCCTGTGCTATAAAGGATGCCGGCAGTGGTTGGGAAGCTTGAATATTTCTTCCTCCCAATGGCTTCAAGAGAGGATGCTTCTCTTAAACAGGCGGGCCCTGCCATCTAGTGGGCAAGTGAAACAACATGTTGGAAGGAGAGCCAAGAACTCATCCACCATCTCCAGCTATTTATCTTTCTTCTGCCTCAAAACCCCAATATAAGGTTATAAGCATAATGGACAGAGCAAGACCTCTTCCATTGTGACCTCATTATTATCAAGTCTAAGGGGGTGACTGTTTTGATTGAAAATATGATGTTTCAGATTTCTGAATGCCAATGCAACGTGATTAAACCCTAGAACTCCAGAGCTGCACAGGGATCCTATGAATCATTGAGTTGAGTCCCTGTCAAGAATGCACAGTGGGAATCAAACTCCCAACCTCTTGATTCTCAGCTAAAGACTTGAACCTCTGAGCTGTCCAGCAGCTATCCTAGTTTTGTGCAATTCATGCAATTTGCATTATTTGAATAAATATCATCTTCACAAATGTGAAAACTAGTTGAGACTGGTAAAGAATATCTCACCTACTTGCAGATGGGGGGGGAAGTCCTTTCTTGTGCCAAGTGAAGATTGGCACTCCAATTATATCTGCAAATACATAGATTATACTCTATGCTTTGCATAATTTATTGGGCAACACAGATGGAGATGAAACTTTTCAAATCAGCTGCTAAAATCTCAGGAAAAAAGATATGCTATTTTACTATCCTCTAATTGGCTTACAAATGCCTGCTCATGATGGTAGTAATAATTAATCCAAAATTGACAGCTATAAAGTTGGCTTTATACATAGAAATAAATTCTGTGCCCGTGATGCACTGTGACAAAAGACACACACCCATTCCCATCGTTATACTCTGATTTCACAGTTGTTTGTACTGTCTATAGCAGTGGTTCCCGACCTTGGGTCCCCAGATATTCTTAGCCTATGACTCCCAGATATCCTGGCTAGCACAGCTAGTGGAGTTGCCCCCCAGGAACCTCTGGGGACCCAAGGTTGGGAACCACTAGTCTATAGGTACAGACATACTAATTTGAAAAACAACAACAGTAATACTTCAACATGCTTCTTGTCTTCCAGAAAACACACAAAGAATGGCCTCTGCTGGATGGGCCAACCACAGGATCACCTGATAGAATCAACTATAGAGCTTTCAAATAAAGAGGGTCATGAACGTTTCTACTAGACTGAAGCTGGTGAATGTAAACAATGCTAGAAAAGCTGGTTTTCTCCAAGGACAAGATAGTTGAACATGCAAATGTTTCAGCTGTATTCTTATGCTTACCTTTACTATAAATTAGCTTTCCTATACTTTGTAGAATGAACGTGAGAAAAGAAAGATTTTTGCACATAGTAAGCACAGAATATTACCTTTGTACTATGGTAGGGAACTGATAAAAAATTAGAAATATTGCACACAATATCAAAGATATAAAAATGTGTGAGAACAGATTATTATTATGTATATTAATATAGAGAATGTGCTGTTACTTAAGAAACTAGTCTCCCCAGAAATGTTTAGTTAAGCCTGCTCCAACCACTCTCTTTAAGGCTTCCTAATCAACCTCTTTAAAGTGACGGTATTGACGCTCTAGCCAAATTGGTGAGGACTTGCTCCATATTTTATTTCTATTAACTGTTGAAATGGATTTCAGAAATTGTTTAGATTTAGTGAAACTGAACAAAATGTCACACTTCAGATCAGGTTAGATCATTATAAGCAGTGTCGCTTTGAAGTGAAGTATATTATTTGGGGAGATACTTGCATCCACAAGCAAGGCTGAGGTGGTTTCAGGGCGCCTACACCACACCTCAAGTGACCCTATTTGGCCCTTCCTCCCTTTGAAGCAAAAAGAGAGAGAAAGAAATAACAAAGATCCCCCTCCTTGTCTCCTCTTGTCTCCTGTCTATGGTGGAGTAGGAGGTTTTCAATTATTAGAATTCTTTCTGAGTGGCATCAGTGCTGCCTAACAAGGGCTTAAAATAAAAAGAAACCTCTGCTTCCTCAGGAGAGTGGGAGTAAGTTTTTATTTTCACAAAATTATGAAGTGGCTTAAGCAGAGAGTTTCAAGCCATCCGCTTTGGTTCAGTTCCAGCAATCACACATGCTGAGACAAAACCAAAATGGAGTGATCCTGCCTGCATCAAAAAGCACAGTAGCCCATGACAAACACTCAAAAGGTGTGAGTAGATGTGGATGAAGGATGGGTTAGTTTGTGTTACCCTCTACGTCATGTGGTTGTCAGGAGAAAAAAAAGAGGGACCTAGCTGGTCCCCAAACCAGGTCAAACTTTGAGACCAATCACCATGTCTCACCCTTAGTTTAAGCCAGGAAGAAAATGTTTCCGATCTTTTCCTCTCAGTCACAGGTGAAGAGTGAGGAGCACGTAAATCTAAGGCTCTGCAACACATTCTTGTAGTACTAAACTATGATTTAGTATTACAGCCAATTTAGTATTACATTCAAAATAGGCTTCTGTTCTGTGCCTTGAAAGCTAGGCAAACTTCAATTTTTGGTACTATTAACTTGGCAAACTTAATCCTAGTTTTTAACATTAAGCCTAGGCAAACTTGAAATGTTAGTGTCTTACATTAAAATCAGCATTAGAGTTACTCTAGAAAGGATGAAATAAAATCAAGTACAGTAGGACCCCCTATCCACAGGATCAGTATCCACTGATTCAATTATCTACTGCCTGAAAATACTAAATAGCTCCCCCCCACCCATATTTACTGTACAGTGGTGACTCGCATTATGACGTTAATTCGTTCCAGCGAAATCGCTGTAGAACGAAAACGTAAAGCAATTTTAAAAAGCCCATAGAAACGCATTAAAACCCGGTTAATGCGTTCCTGTGGGCTGGAAACGCACCGTCCAGCGAAGATCCTCCATAGCGCGGCCATTTTCGCTGCCTGTGCAGCGAGGAATCCGTCCCAGAAAATAGCAGGCGGCCATTTTGTTTACCCGATGGCCATTATGAAACTGCCGATCAGCTGTTAAAAAATCATCGCTTTGTGAGAATCGGTTCCTGAAGCAGTGAACCGATCATTGCAAAGCAAAATTCCCCCATAGGGAACATCGTTTTGCGATTGCAAAAACATTGACGTCAAGTGGTTTTATCATTAAATGGAGTGCCCGTCTTGCGGGGCACCACTATATATGTATTTCCAGGTTGTATTTACCTGAACTGGCCACTAGAGGCAGGCCACTAGAGGCAGACAGAGACCATGCAATGTAAAATATTCAATATTTTAGCATTTTTGGGCAGGGGCAGGGTTGGAACCGATCCCCACAAATATCAGGATCCTACTGTACAGCCACATGATGAAACTTTTGATATACTGTATTGTAAAGACATCAAAGAAAAAAGATTTCTTAGATTTTGATCTAAAACCTCTTGTGTTAAATATCTCCTTTTTAAAACAGTGATGCTATTTCCATTTCAAGTTTAGCAGCTATACGAGATGGATCACTGACTAATATATGAAGTATCTCACTACTACTACTGCTCACTGTCTTAGTTTTCCCACTTGCAAATAGAATTTGATCCTACAGTATTTTTAGCAGACACATGTATGGGTTTCTTTAGAAAGGGGGATAAAATGATTAAGGTCTTTCCATTTCATGGAAAATCTTAATTCCAAAAAAAAAATATTCATAATTCTTATTTTTTTTTTATTTTTATTTTTTTTTATATTTCATGGAAAATCTTAATTCCAGAAAAAAATATTCATAATTCTTATTTTTTATTATTATTATTTTTAAAGCCCACCCTACTATTTCCTGTTCCTTGCTCCAAGTCAGGAGCTAGAAAACACTGAAAGAGATTGTATGTTTGGCCTGCATTGCCAAGGAAATCCAGGTTAGAGATAGGAAGAGTTACCCTTCTGGATTGCAACTCCTAGAATGCCTCTTGCCCACAAGGCAGTTAAGCGGCCATGCTGCCTGAGTGGGTTATTCTAAGAGTCTTTCCCTATCTCTTGTTGAGGTGCGACGTCAACACAGTGGCAAAACAGCCATGGGTTCCCTCCTGATCTCAGAGGAGGGCAGCGATCACTAAAGCTGTCAGAAAAGTTCCTGCCTCTTTTTGCAATTTGTCTGACTCAGTTCCCTAACTGTCTGATGACTGGCAGGAACTTTTCATGGGGCTGGGAATGGTATGTGTGAAGGCAGGCAATCTGGGGGCATTGCACTGAGTGGAATGGAGTGGATTGAGTAATGGATCAGGAGTCAAGTTACTTGGGTTTGAATCCCTGCTCAGCTAGGGAAGCTACTGGTACAGAGTGGCCCTGGTAAAGCCACTCGTTAAATGACTCACCTAGAAAATGCTATTAGAGTTACTGTAAGTCAGATGCAACTTGATGGCATCTAACACACAATTTTGGGGTAATTTTCTGAAAGTCTCCTATACAGAGGTACAACCGCGATGACAAAACACATTTCAGTTTTCTTGGTGAAGAAAGTAAATGTATCATTTATATATTTTCCCTTGACTTATCCCCAGACTGTACCCTTGTTGCTGCCTCTACTTTGTTTTCACGTGCTTTTCTTTTTCCAATTTAAATGATTCCAAATTCTCAAGCATATACTTACAAGGAGTAATGTTTTACGTGATCCAGGTGACTAGGGATACCGTCAGCAGCAGCATTTGATTCATGGTGTATTTTCTTTGCTGGACATATTCATTATTATCCAGTTAATATATTGCTATCCACATGAATTAATAATTTAATTACATGCTGTCAAGCCAATTCGAACTTATAGGAACCCCTTCCAAGGTTTTCTTGGAGGCACTCGAGGACTGTAAACCTGACCCAAGGATGCCCAGGCCGGCGCTTCTCCCAGGAAATCCAAAGATCTCGGGCTCTGCAGCCAGGTTGACTACATGTGGTACTGAGTTCTTGAAGTAAACACTGATGTTGAACATACCTCTAAGCAAAATAGTTTCAGAGCACTTTTTAACGTTGTCTACCTCCATTTGCATGTTCTCATCTTCATTCTCTTCCTTTCTCCCAAAGAGGCGATATTGCATTAGCGTACTTTTCCTCAGCTTCCCTCTAATATTTTCTCATAATATTAAGCAAAGAACATTAAAATTGAAATATGGCCTATCTTCACTATGCTGCAGTTGGCATGCCGGCCTTTCAGCTAATCCCAGTGACTGGGACTCCATTGTCTGTTGCACATACTCGATCTTGCAGTTGTTGCTGCAGGGGCCACCCCATGACATCACAGCGCTCTGTCCTCTACGTCTTGGTCTTTGGCCCAGAAATCTCAGGGAGGTGGATGCTGCTGCTCTGGCAACCCTATTACCTACTGTATTTAACTACAAATGATTAAAAACGGTTACAACTTAATAACATTATTATCTTTTGCTTTATATCAACTAAAAGACTAACACGAATATCACTAAATTCATGGAAGAAACATTCCAATTAAACAACAGCATGGTAAACTCCACAATGGTCAAAATTTTATAACCACTTTAGGAAGTCAACAATTTGTTTCTCGTTCAGATTTTGTTTTTACGTGTTGTCAGCTTGCCTCCAACTCATGGCAACCCTATGAATGAGTGATCCTGAAAATTTCCTGTCCTCAGCTTCCATGCTCAGCTGTTGTAACCTCAAGCTTGTGGCTTCCTTTAGGAAGTCAGAGCATCTCATATTTGATCTTCCTCTTTTCCTGCTGCATTGCCCTTTCCAAGCATTATTGTCTTGCCCCCTTCAGATACTAAATTCGTATTATTTACACTGGAAAATCCTTGTTTTTCATACACAGTATGGAAATTTAAGCAGCCTAAACGTTCCTGGTAGAGGAAGGGGAAGGACTGCAGATAAAGGCTGGTTACATGATAAAAGCTTTGAACACAATCAAACCAAAACGAAATATCTTTAATTACCGTACTGCTGATTTAAATGGGTGAGAGAATTAAGCCCATGGGACTTAAAAGTACTTAACCATGGCTGGAATGTGCCTTTTGTGTAAAACTCTTTTCAGACGGGATGTTAACTTCCGGCCGACTGAAATGTATTGGCATCAAATTAATCAGCTTTGCATGATTTTATTTGCTGCAGTGGCGATCAAGGATCAGCCACACCTGTAAAACTCTTTTCAGACAGGATGTTAACTTCCGGCCTACTGAAATGTATTGGCATCAATTAAATTAATCAGCTTTGCATGATTTTATTCGCTGCAGTGGCGATCAAGGATCAGCCACACTACTCAGCCATAGGAAATATTCTGAAGTTGTCTTATATTATCATGCTCCTGTTTCATAGTATGCAAACCCTGTCTATAGAAGATTTTGCTGAACAGCTGCATTTGTTTTCTAAAAATGGAGATACTGAATTTCCCTTGTGCCCTTGTCAGGAAGTTATCTGCCTTGACTAGGCAAAGGCTATGGTTCCCAATGCAAGGAGTAATTAGATGGTTTCTTTTCAAAAGATATCATTTTCAGGAGGCACAACTTTCAAAAAGGAGGGAGTGGCATGGTGCAAGCAGCAGTACCAACGATGGGTACTTCCTGCAGATACCCATCTCATTGAAGGGAAACAACAGGTTCTTTACTCCATAGAGAAAACAGGGGAAAGAAAAGGCAGATCTGACTGTAGTTCTAGACTAATGCCTTAGGCCATAGGTTCTGGGAGCTGGGAGCAAGTTACTGGAAGAGCCCTCTGTGTGCAGCCAGCCCCACAGCCCTTTATGTGTGGTGGAGAATGCTACCATTGAAGAAATATTCACCTGACTTTTGCACATAGAAAGGAAAGGGGCACCATCCTAATTTACACCTCAGGCAGCAAAGAGTCCTGTGCTGCTCCTGGCAAAGGAGGAGAGAAGACATGGTATCTCCTGTAAACATGACTTTTGAAGAAAGACTCTTCTTTAAAAGAATGGGGTTGGTTTTGGTTGTTTACTGGCTTTCCCCCCCCTACACAATTTTTTTTACAAAAGACAACAGTATCAAGATGGTTTTTGAAGAAGGAAAAATACCATACTTCTTGTTTTAACTAATTTGTTAATTAATTCCAAAACTGACGTTAAGGTCCTAAACCAGTCATCACAGTAGCATATCGCATTTTAGCTCTAATGTAAACTTGCCTTTGGAAAGTTTAAATGAAATTTTGTTCAGAAGATAGTACATCTATGATTAAAATACCCTATGCAAGACAACTCCCTTAATTCACCAAGTGTGACTTAAGACACAACAGTCATATCACAATACTATGAAACGTTATGTCCTGTGGGACCAGCAGTGGACGGTACCTGGGCAAAAGGCTGAAACAAGATGTTCTAGCTTGCCAATCAGTAGAGCTCAGAGCATGTTAGTGTTGAAGAGAAGTGATTCTGGCAGACTTCCATCTCTGAGAAATCTCATTTCAAAGGAATCTCCTGCGCTCGAGTCCCAAAAACCTGGTGTTTTAAAAAAGCAAGCTAATTTACAAATTATGGGAACTGAGAGAAGCTGCTAATGTAACGCTCACTCAGAATCACCCTGTAAGGGTTTTCCTCTTCTAATGACTGGTTATCTGTAACAACTATTTCTTCCTGTAACAGGAGTGGGAATAATGGAAGAATATTGTACCCAAATTCTCCTCTGAAATAAAGTGTGCTGCCTGGACTTCCAGTAACTTCTGGAAGTTACTAGAGCTGGAAAAAGTTCCTGGAGTTGGGAAAAATGGCTTTTGGATTCCCAGTGTTTGC